GCGGGTTATACAAAGCCCAGAGCAGGGACCTTGCCCGCTTCCCAAGTAGAGTGAGAGCGAGCTGGGCCTGAAAACCCGGGGTTTCTCAGGAGAGCTGCCTGAACCCTGTGTTGCTTTCGTAGGAGTCCCTGTTTGGGGCAATGGGACGCACTGGGCGGTATTGACCGAGGGTGCCTCTGCACGTGGGGTGGACGGGGCAGGCAGAGGGGGGCCCCAAGCCCTGCAGTCCAGGAGGCGCAGGCAGCCCGGTGTGGCTGTGTGGCCACGTGCTCACCGGGGGAGACCGGGGGTGGGTTGGCATCAGGGAGAAGCTGGGACAGGTGTGCTCCAAGAGGGCATACACTGGGCAGGTGCGGTTTGTTCAGGCCAAGGTGGCAGATGGGCCCAGAGCATAGGCTGGACTGCCCACGTGCCACAGGGTCTCTGAAGTGCATGCCCTCAAATGTTCCAGGAAGGGGGCTGCTTCCTGTGTGCCGGCTGCTCGAGGCCTGGCTTTGGGCAGTGGGAGAAAGCCTGTGCCTCTGGGTTGGCTTCCTTCCTGGGGTACACCCGGGGAGGGGCCCCCACGGGGCAGCCAGAACAGACAGTGCCGTCCACAGGGGCTCTCGGCCCCGCACTTGAGTTGCAACGGTAAAATTCATGGGCCAGGCTTGAAGGTGGAAAGAAAGTTATAAAAACACAAAGGCTCAGTAGTCTCGAATCCCGTTCGTGAAGAGGAACAGTTAGGATCTGTAAAATTTGGCCATCTTTGCAGTCAACGCGGAGTCCGGAGTTTCTCACTTTAGAATGATTTTGGAAGAGTCATGACTGGTACAGAGGAGTCGTAACCCATGACATAAGGTGGTTGTAACTAAATAATTTCAAAAGCAAAATGACCGAAATCACTTTAAAATTCAGTTGCAGCCTTTACATTCAGTGTTGAAGGTGGTGAGTGTCAGCGTGTGCGGTGCCGGCCTCAGCCCAGGGCGTGTGGGTAACTGCTGAGAGTGTGGTCCCGGGGAGTGGGGTCAAGGACCCTGACCCGGAGCCCGGCTGATTGCCTGGGGACCCGCGGAGGAGCAGGGTGTGTGGCGAGCAGTTTCAGGTTCTCAGAGAAGCCGAGGCAAACCCCGGCCTCCACACGTGCCCAGCTTCCCCCACTGTCGGCACCGGCCCCCAGAGTGGGACCTTTGTTAACCACGGATGAACCTGACATCGACACATGGGCGTGTCCGAGGCTGACCTTGGAGTTGACTCTTGATGTGCGTTCTGTGGGTTTTGAGAAAAGTGTCCATGACTCAGTAGGGTTCAGAATGTTTTCATTGCCCTAAAATCCTCTGGGCTCTGCCTTCCCTTCAACTCTGGCAACCGCTGATCTTCATACGGTCTCTATAATTTTGCCTTTTCCAGAATGTCATACGTTTGGGCTTATGCCGAATGTTGCTTTTTCAGATTCCTTTATTGTGGGAAAATATATATAACATAAAATGAACCATTGTAAGCCTTCTTAAATGGACGAGTACTTTCCCACTGCTGTGCAGCCGTTACCGCTGTCCATTTCCAGAACTTTTCCATCCCCTCGGCGAGACACTCTGAATCCATTAAACAGTAACTTCCCATTTCTCCCTCCCCGGTCAGCTCTGTTCTGCTTTCTGTCTCCATGCAGGTGCCTGAGTCTGGGCACCGCGGAGAATGCAGTCACATACCATTTGCCCTGTAGTGGCTCTCTTATTCATTTAGCAGGATGTCCTCACGGTTCATTCCGATTGTAGCCGGTGTCAGAGTTCCCTTCCTTTTGAAGGCTGAGTAGGATTCCATGTACGGATTTGCCACCTTTGGTTTCTTCAGCCGTCGTTGGACACTGGTATCATTTCACATTCTGGCTACCATGCCTAATGCTGCGGCAGGTGCTGGAGTTCAGGTGCCTGTCCGACTGTGGCTTTTAACAGTGGCTGTGTTTAACAGCCTGAACATTTGATGGTCCCACGAGTTGGCACAAGCCCACTCCAGCACCCTGCTGGCTATAGCCTCCAAAAGTACAAATGTCTGAGGCCCCCAGAGACCTTAGAACACTCGGGCATACATTCTTTACCAAATAGTCAAGTAAATGCTGGAGATTTTATGCAAATATGCATTCTGGGACTAGGGGCAGAGAACAGACGTTCATTTTTTAAAGTACTTTTTCTGCCAGGAGGTGAACATTTGTGTCTGGTGAACATTTTCCAGTAAGAGGGAGTCAGGGTGTCTGGGGTGTTGGGGCAAAGACGACGTGATGTCTGTCCATCCTGGAGTCCTTGGAACCTGGGAACAGTAGAGCCTCCCCTGGGCTGTGCTGGCCTCTGATGATTTCCAGGGGCTGTGTGTCCTGGGACTCTGTTCTTTGTCCTGCTGTTTTGGGGTCTGGTGACTTCTGGGCTTCTTCCTGTGCCGTGCTCCAGAGAAGAAAGAATTTCCAGAGAGGTGCAGCATTGTCTCTGGGAGAGACGTCCCTTAGGGAGAGGAATTTGACTGGGAGGACTGTTGGCCGAATCCAAGCCCGCTCCCTGACATCCTGGGGTCCCAGTAGCAGATGTGTTTTGGTGTCTTGACAGTTTCAGGCCTTGGGCAGCAACGGCAGGTGGTGGACCCCTCCTGGCCACCCTACAGAAGGCAGATGTCGGTGTCCACCAGTGTGTGCCTGGCCACGTTTTCGTTGCCTGCTGGTCATCGTGGCAGAAGGAGAAAGAGAATGTCGTAGTGTGCACGCGGTGCCACTTTGCAGGTCTGGTCCCATTTTGCCTCCCTTCTGCCTGGAGAGCCTGTTCCCAGTGCTGGAGCGTGCAGCCACGGCTGACATCAGCGCTCCAATAACATTTTTGCTTGGCATGTTTATTTTTGTTAAGTGTTTTATTATTTTTTATGAGCTCAGAATTGCAGAAATCTAAGGAATTTGCCCCTTGACTGAGTTTCTTGCTGGAGCAAACAAAAGACTATTGACTTGACACCAAGTTGGGGAGAAATCCCAGTGTGACCCTCTCTCTGTCTGTGCCTCCCCGGAATGTTAGCGAATGCGGGCTGCCCCCACTGGTGACAGCGTGCTCGCCCAGCTCCAGGCTCTGTCTTGGGTCCTCTGGTCTCACACTCATTTTCCTTGCAAAGCCAAAAGCCTTGTTTTAAGTTTTGCCAATTGCAGCTGTATAACTAATATTGAAGGACGGATTATACCTTATGATAAGGGGATCCAACTCCAGTGTGCCGTGGTCCCTGGGTCTGCCCCCTCCTCTGCCTCCACCCCCCCTCCCCTGCCTCTACATGCCCAGTTAATCTCTAGCTCCTCCTCTGTCCACAGAGGTGGCCACTGGGCTGTTCCGTGTCTGGATAGAAGGAGCACAGGGGCGCCTGGGTGGCTCAGTCATTAAGCGTCTGCCTTCGGCTCAGGTCATGATCTCTGGGTCCTGGGATCGAGCCCCAAGCAGGGCTCCTTGGTCTGCGTCTCCCTCTGCCCCTTCCCCTGCTTGTGTGCCTCTGTGTGCTCTCTCTCCAATAAATTAATGAAAATCCTTTTTAAAAGAGCCCACTTGCCAGTTGGTTTCCTTTACTTTCCCCCTCAAACTCAAATCTAGAATAAATGATGCATAGATGCCGTTAGGCCCCTTCACTTTCCCCACGTGGAAACAAAGTCCTTCTTGTTTGATGATTCTGAGAGGAGCTTAGAGGGCCCCGAGCTCGTAGAGTTGGAGACACGTGGAAGTCGTTTCACCCGCTGCTCTGTTGCTGTGCCCCGCGCACACCCGCGGCCTGGACTGGACCCAGGAGCCCTTACAGCTGAGGCTGGGCCGACGGCCTCCTTCTCTTGTCTCAAGGGCTCCTTCACTCACATTCCTCCAGGCAGCCCACTTCCATTTTTGGAGGGACAGGGTTTGTAAACTGAGAAGTAACTAGGGTTGAGCTGGAATTCCAAATGGGAGGGCCGTGGCCCACATTCCCTCGCGTTTGTAGTGTTTCCTGGCAGCTAGGGGCTGAGGGGTCGAGGCAGGCAAGTTCAAAGGAAAAGGCGGGGGCTCCGAGAGTGGGCTTTCTGCAGACCGTATGTGCCTTACAGCGGAGGGCACAGCCTGATCTCCTGCCTCTGAGGGGAGGCCCTCGCTTCCCCAGGGTGCTCTGTGGAAGGACCGTCTCACTTGCAAATACCTTGTCCCATGTTGAGTCCATATCGCCCAGTATGTCCCAACTTTGGGTTCAGAAAATATCCCCAGGAGAAGCGAGGCGCAGATGAGAGACGTTTCCCGGCATAGGATGACGGCTGGGGGCTTGGAGCGGGTAGCCAAGAAAAGCCGACTTTTCCCATCATTGTTCAGGCCAGTGCGCCGAGCACAGTGGGGCCGTGGTCGGATTCTGGGTTAGCCTTCTGAAGGGCTCTTGCCATCGTGATCTCTTGGCGAGGGTGGGGGCGGCGTCAGAGCTCCCACTCCGAGCAGCCACTGGCATGAAATGCACACGTTCTTCATGGACTTTGCTGGTCGCGCCTTTCAGATCTCGCGGGGGGGAGGGGGGAGGGCTCAGCTGCCTTGGCATTGGCTGGAGGATTATTGCCTGACATTCCGTCCGTTTGTTACTTCATTGAATCGTCACCACAACCCTGCAAGGGAAGTGTGATTCTCCTCTTCCAAATTAGGGAAACTGAGGCTCTGAGGACTGCGTCTTCTTCCCAGCATGGACTCGTGTGCCGTCGCTGGTAGAGCCAAGGCCCGAGCCCGTAAAGCCCCTTTCCCTTCCTGCTCACGTCCCCACCATCGAGTCCCCGCGGGGCCTCCCACATGGTCACTGGGCGTATTTTGGCCAGGGCGCCTCCACTGGAAAGGTGAGGGGAGCCAGACGTAGGAGGACAGCACATTCTTCACGGAGCAGAGAATCGTCATTCTTGCCCCGAGCCAGGAGCTGAGATGCATCCCAAGTTCGGTTCCCCCGTGGCCTTGGGTGGATGTTGGCATGGGGTATGTTTGGGTTTGGGTTTCACATTGATTCTTGAATTTTTATTTCAGGACATAACTTGGCAAGATGAGCACTCTGCCCCCTTCTCCTGGGAAACGAGGGTAAGTTGGATTAAATTTAGATTTGTTTGTCCTTTTAAGAAAGAATTGTGTGGTTCTCTCCTTTTCTTGCAGCGCTTGGTGGCCTCAGAAGGCAGAGGCCCTGCTGCCCGGCTGCCGTTGGAGGACGGGAGGGGAGAGAGTTGTGATGTCTGGGAGACCGGTGCGGGGGTCGTGGTGGGATTCAAGTTTTCGTCGGTACCGCCAGCCGGGGTCCTGCGGTGCCCTTGACTGGGGCCCCAGCTGTCCTGGGAAAGCAGGGTCAGCTCCGTTGGGGGCTTCCTCTGCTCCTACCTCTGCCCCCACCAGCACTAAGGCAGAGCTTGGAGGGAAGCTTTTGGGGTGGGGTAAACAGCTGCTTTGATTACAATGAACTCAGAAGGGCCAGGAGGCTGGGTGGGTGTGGGGGCAGGAGGGACACAGTGGAAGGGACCACACAGTGGGTCTGTGGAGGTGGCCTGGAGGGGTTCCGCTCTAAGGCACCAGAGTCTGAGGCGAAAGGAAATAGAGAGACATTCTTGGCACCCTGCAGACTTGAAGGGGTCCTGGGTTCACATTCATGGGCAGGTGTTAGCAAACACGGCCCCGCCGGGACCGCTCACTTCTGATCACTTCTTTACCTTCGTTATTGTCATCATCATCATTATTGATCGGTATTCTTGCCAGAGATGTGTAATGGTATTAGCTTAACTGATTTTAATTCATTTCCCCTAGCCTCCCTAGTTGCAAAGGTGCAAAAGGACCCAGAGGCAGGTGTCTGTCACCCAAGAAAAAGAGGGGAAAATGCCATGATTCTCGAACATTTAGTGCTGGGTGTCGGGGGGCTCTTCCCGTAATAGGGGTGACAAAGACAGCAGTGTGCCTGGAATAGGGCTTCAACTTGAGGTCAGATCAGGGCTTTGAAGCTCCGAGCCTTGTGCTTGGTTTTCCGCTAAGCCCGCATCGCTTGTCCCAGCAGAAGTGGGCATCCAGGGGGCCTGCGGAGTTGGTGGGTCTGAGTGAGGGCAGAGCACTGGGGGAGGGGGTCTGCGAGACACCCAACAGGCTCTCACGTGGGGGCCTGTGTCTCAAAATGAAATATTTGACAAGGTTCAGATGGCTGAGGGCAGCACTTGGTGGGTGACTGCTGATGGGGCCAAGGGTGACCCCTGATGGGGATGGGGAAGGGTGTGACATGGTCCTCATGGGAGAGCCGGGAGCTGGCTTTGAGCATTCGTGGCATTTACGCAGGGCCCATGTTCATCTGGTGGGCACAGAGTCCCTCGGCCTCCAGCGTGCCATCCCGTGGGGTCCTGAACACCATACAGCAACGATGCAAACACATGCGTTGTGGCATTTTTTATCTAGGTCTGTGCAGGGGGCAGGGTGAGCAAAGTGGTGTGCCTGGGAGCTGGGGTCTCCCGAGGGATCTGGATGCTGCTCGAAGGATATCAAGGAGCAGGCTGGAGACACGGGAGCCCCTGCAACCAATAGGAACCCCCCCCACCCCGCCCAGGCACCCTGGAAGGGAAGCTGTGGGTGGGTAGAGAGGACGTCAGCACGCCGACAGTCAGCAGGAGCCTCCATCTCCTTCGATGGGCTCCCAGGGGTTAACCGAGGAGCACTAACCCTGCAGGTGATCCCTGGTGGTAAGAGGCAGATGGACCCCCCTGCAGGCTGGGACCAAACAGCCTGGGATGCAGTGTCCCAGAAAGCGGCACAGATTTTCCTGGACCGGGTCCTCCGTTTGGCGGCGTCACAGTGATGAAAAGGCAAAGAGGTCAAAAGAGTTAGAACGTCCTAAGCCCTAAATCCATCTTGTGCCCTGTGAGAATATCTGCTCTATTAAGAATTTACCTTGTGAAATTGTTCCTGAATCTGCTGTTCGCGAGATGGGACACGCCATCTATTATTAACTTGCTGCGGATGACATTCTGGGACAAGGATGGGCAGTGGCTGGGCTGGGTGCCGCGACGGGGCTCGGCTGCCTGGGGCCGGCCTGGCGCACAGGTGTCCCGAGAACGAGGACAGCCGACAGGGTCAGGGATCACACGTGTGCCAGTGCTAAGTGTCCGCAGCCGTGAGCCGCATCCCTTAGGAACCCGGTCAGCTGAGGAGCCTCCAGAGGTTAACGGGTGCTGCCCCCTTAGCAGAGGACCAGCTTGCGCCACCAACCGGCGGGCTCACTCGGGGGCTCACCTTTTAGTTGGGTCTCTCAGGGTCGCACTTACGCAGCTGAGTGTTAGAACCTAGTAGAGGCAAAATAGCATTGCAGAGAGCGGAGAGGCCTGCCCTACTCTGTCTTCACAAGGCAAGGTCGTGTTCTAGAAGGACCCACCACTCACCTCCCTAGCCGTTAAGTCCGAGTGCCCTGCTTCCCTGGCTCTGTCGCACTCTGCCCAAGGACCTCCACACTGGCGGGAACCTCTTTGGAGAGCTGCAAACAGGAGGTGGCTTCAGGAAGGGCGGGGTGGCCTAGATCTCCAGGTGCAGGACTCGGGGCTCAGATGCGGATACTTGCTCCCCCTGCCCCCGTGTGACACCTTCTTCTCTCCGTCTGTTATCTGTTGATGTACAACAAACCACCCCACAGCTTCACGATTCTGGGGCTCGGTGGTGGTAGCAGGGCTCAGCGGCTCTTCCGTTGGCCGTGGCTGGGATGGCTCTCCTGTCATCGGACAGCCGTCCCGTGGGAGTGGCCGCTCCAGGATAAGCTCTCTTCCGTGTGCCGTTGGTGCTGGGTGTTGATGGGGCCCCGTGTGGCCCAAGAGCCAGCCTGGGCTCCTTCACGTGGTGGTGGAAGCGTCCCCTGGGGGCGAGGGCGGAAGACTACAGGCCTGCTTGTGACGGGCTGGGGGTGGCCCTGTGTCACTTCTGCTTGCTTCTCCTGGCTGTATCGAGGCACGGTCCAGCCTGGGTTCAAGGTCGGGGGAAATAGATTACTCCTCTTCATAGTGAGTTGCAGAGAATTTATAGCAGTTTATTTAAACAGTTACTGAATTTGAGTGTAGTTGACACGTAGGCATTTTCCTGCTAGGGTTTTCTACCCCAGCGGCCGCGACACTGGGTCCTTTCACTCGACTGTTGCGCTCTCATCTGTTTTTTTCCTTCTTTTGTTTTCAGTTGTAAATCACACATGAAATTGACCACTTTAGCCATTTTTGGTGGACAGTTTGTGGCATTCAGTGAACTCGCACCGTCCGACAGCTGTCCCCACCCTCTAGCCACCGAACTCTTCCTCTCGCAAAACTGAAGCTCTCGCCTCCCCCAGCCCCTGGCGGCCTCCGTTCTCCAGCCAGGCTCCGTGACGTCATTCATCGATTTTTCAGAAGTTCAGTGGACATTTATTATAGTCCAGCCTCTGTCAGACGTTCTGCTTAATACTCAGAGGCAAGTAGGCACTTCTGCCCTCGACACACTGCCCGCGAGTGCTTGGCTTCCTGCGGTGGCAGAGCTCTCGCAGGAGAAAAGCTTTCGCACGCATTCCTTCTGTCATTTTCCCCGTTGCCATAACACGTACGTACACACGTGTTGGGAGATACAAGCCCAGCAGACGGTCAGTGAGGGCCAGCTAAGCGCCCAGCTCTCCCTCTGCTCTGACTCCTGAGCCCCCGATAGATCAGCTGAGGCCAGGGAACGCCTGACCCAAGGTCATGACTGTTGGCAGACCCTAGAATGCCAGGGATTTGGGGGATCATTGGCCGATGATTGTACGTCTCTGGGGATCCTTCCTTTAGGCCAGCCGGCGGTGGTCCCACTGACAGAGCCTAAGTCGGCCCAGTGCTGGGAACCTGAGAGCCCCCGAGGGTTCTGTAACACCCATTCTCCCCCTTCCCCGAACCCTGCTTCGTCTTCCGTCCCATCCTCCCCACCTGGGTCACCTGCCCGGTGCCGCTGTCTCTCTGCCGTCTTCCATCCTGGAAGGGAGGCTTAGCTGGGTGGGAGTGGGGGTCATGTATCAGCTTGGCGGGTGAGCTGGTGGGGGGGGGTGCCGTGGGGCCCCACGCTGGATTCCTCTCTCGTGCTGCTGATGTTTTGAGTGGAAAAAACTCAGCACTTGGAATGCTCCAGAGGAGGAGGCGCGGAGCAGAGAGAATTCTTGACATTCCCCGGGGGGGTCTGGGCTGGGGAATTCAGAGATGTCTGCAGAAGCAGGTCAGGCCCTGGCACTCGCTGGGTCACTGGGCTCTAGGGACACCTCCCCACCCGCAACTGTGCCTCCCCTTTCCCTGCCCCCGCCCGGGCTGTCTGGCTTCCTGGCTTCTTCCCGTCCATCTTGGTCCCCCTCCCAGTGTACACTGCCTTTTTGGGGATGGAAGCTGGCTGGTGGGGATCCGCTCCTTGATTCCTTTCATATCAAAAGGTCTCTAGGGGCTGATACAGACCATTCCCAGAGCAGGGAGTCCTTCTAGCCCCTTCCAGCTTCTTCCTTGGGAAGAAGAGTCAGCACTTAGGGGCCTTTGTGCTGAATGTTTGAAAGATCAGAGAACGATGTCACAGCTCCTGTGTGCTGTGCCCTGAGTCAGGCATTGGCATACACGTGGCATTGCTCCAGGCCTGGGGGTCCGTGTCGCCGTTCCTGCTGTGGGTTGGATTCTGGCAGGGGTCAAGGAAGAGAGTAACAGCAGGTAGCTTGAATCAATGGAGAGAGAGTGGAGCTTGGGTCTGCCTGGCTTGCCGGAGGCTCCTGCCTGGGCGGGACAGAAGGGCATTCCGTCGGGATGTTCTGTGCATAGGGGAGGCCCTGGCTTCCAAGCTACAGCTTGGCTGTCCCTCCTGGCTCCGGCAAGAGTTGGAGACTCACGGTCACACAGAGCTGCCCCGTGCCCCCATCACAGCCTAATTCCTGGGCTACTTGCGGTCTCCCAGCCTTCCTCACCAAGACCCCCCCCAATCTCTGCCCAGCAGTCAGCTCTCCTTCCTCCCTGCCCCCACCCCCGTACTGTCCCTAGCTCTCCTTCCTGAGATCCAGAGCTGATCCTTATGGCGCCCTGACCTTTATCCTGGGTCTCCGTGTCTGGGGT